ACATGATCTCAGACGCGCATAAAGAGGATCCAGGTTTTCTTGAACAAGTGTCTGAGGAAGCTACTGAGGATCAGAGGGACTGACAGGATCAACAACAAGGAAGTATTAAGAATAACGAGACAGAGATGAGGTGGGAAGAAGGCGTTGGCGATGGATTGGACACACTTTCAGGGAGTCAAGCAGCTGCCTAACATAACAAGGAAAGTGTTAGAATGGAACCCAAAGGGTAAACTATCAAGGGGAAGACCACGTGAAACCTGGAGAAGAGTCACGGAAATCATGGATGTACAGAAAAGTGGAAAGACATGGAGTGACATCAAGCGACTATAGCCCAGGATAGGGAAAGGTGGAAAGTGTTTGTTCGTGGCCTATATCCTGATCCAGGGTGAGTTTAGTTTTAGTTGAGGTTTTACGGCGCTCGCAACTGCATAAGGTCATCTGACCACCAGAAGATTAGAAGTGTTACAAGAAAGTAACAAACATAAAAAAGAAGAATGGGAGATAAGGACGATAAATGTTTGATAGGAAAGAAGAAACAAACCACACCAGAGCACCACCCAACCACCCACGATCCAGAGTGAAAAAGGCAATGATGATGATGATGATGATGATGATGATGATGATGATGATGATGACGATGATAATTGCAGGAACTAAGGAGAAAACACACACACAAGTGGAAAAAAACTCACAAGGAACACAAACGTCATAAGTTAAGATGAATTTTTTTAAAGATTCAAATGAACACAAAAAGACAATCATGGTAAGAAAAGATAACACTTTTAATTCGTTTCCTCGGTGCGCGACAACACAGTTTATTCAAATGCAAAACTGTAAAGATAACTACACATGATCTCAACTGAATCGTTAGTCGGTACCATCTATTAGGAAGAACACTGCAGCAACGACCCAACGGCTCAACAGTCGGACACTGCTTCTCATAAAATCATTTTCCCCTCCTTATTTTTAGTGTAAGTGTTTTTACATCGCTATCAACACAATTTAGAACATATGGTCGTTTTTAAGGACAAGCGGGCTAACCCAGATTTCCAAGGTTTCCAGAAATCTTGACCTACACCAAAAGTGGGCATTGCTCTACCTATAGGAGAAATTTGGTTTCATTGGTGCGTATATTTCTTTGCTTATAGTTATAGAGAAAACTCTTCTAGCCTTTTAAAGAAACTGAACAAGGGACAAAAACTTTACCGTCGATTTTCTCAAAACACCATTTTTCGGGATAGCCCCCTTGTGCTTAAACGCGACCATTTAGGAGGCAGGCTTCTGGTAGGGAACAACATCCCAGCAGAAGGGCCTGAGATACTCTATAAAATTTTCTCTCCAGCCACTCAGAAATGGAACTCAGGTTTCCTGTGAGCGACAGAGAAGTGCCTAACCACTACACCACAGACGCCAAACACCAAAAAGTGCCTGAAGTTGAAGAAAAGTCTGACAAACAAGTCTCAAAGGTGAAAACAAAACACACAATGAATGAATGTACAGGTTATGAGTGAGTATGAGCATGATTGTGGTAGTAAACATGAAGCAATGAATATGAAAGAAATTTCACATACATAAAATACGATAAAAATAAACAAACGAAACAATGTTACCAGTCGTCTGAGGTTGTGTTTCTTCTTTTTTAGTTTTTGTAAGAGTTTTACGGCACTTGCAACACAATAAGGTCACATAAGTGCCGCAGAATAGATGGGTTACAAGAGAGTAACATACACAAAAAATGAGGAGGGGAGATAGGACGACAGATGTTTGATAGGAAACCACACCAAACACCATGTGTTTCTTCATTAGGGCAAGATACCCAAGTGTTAGAAAATGTTTTAAAATTTAATGTAGGATGTTTTACACCCCTATCAACACAAATTAGATCATTTAGGAGGCTAACTTCGACCCTGCCTGTCAAGGCCAACCCGACCTGAGAGAGAGATCTAATTATAATAGATAGCATTCGTATAGCACAAATCCACGCTCAACAGCAAGCTCTATGCGCTTTACAATCCATACTATTACCCCAGCAGACCTGAGTGAGAGCATTCTGAAACAAACTCAAATTTAGTTTTAGCAAGAGTTTTACTAACTCAACTTCCTGGGAAGCATACAGTGCAAGCTGCCATTTATGGGCGCTAAAACACTAACATACTAACACTAACAGATGCACTGTCCAAGCAGACAGACCCAGATATTTGATTAACATGTTCCCCCGACACGAGAATCGTATTTGGCCATCAAAGTCCTCTGCTGAACGGCTGTTTGTTTTGGTAGAGGTTTTACTGCGCTCGCAACTGCATAAGGTCATAGGAGTGCCAGAAGATTAGAGGTGTTACAAGAGAGTAACAAACATAAAAAAGAAGAAGGGGAGATAAGGACGATAGATGTTTGATAGGAAGGAAGGAGCAAACCACACCAGAGCACCCGCCAACCACCCACTCGAGCAGACAGGAACAGAGAAGAAATAAAAGAGAAGAGAAATGTTAACCCTTCAGACCCAAGCACTTTATCATTCTGAGCAGCCAGACACACACCTTAGCACACAGTTGTGTCAATCTAACTGTCGACCCAGCGGAGCTAGGGAGTTTAGTTTTCGTAAGAGTTTTACGGCACTTGCAACAAAAGAAGGTCATATAAGTGCCGAAGATTAGAGGTGCTACAAGAGAGTAACAAACAGAAAAGAAGGAGAGATCTGGACGATAGATATTTGATAGGAAAGAAGGAGCAAACCACACCAGAGCATCTGCATGTCACGTAAACACATAACAGATCTATCTGCTTCTACTTCTAGTGCCATAAGCATAAACCACATACAAAACAATAAAACAACATTGTAAACGAAAAAATAAATTTGTTAATACATGTATTGGAGTAAGATTTTTAAAAAAAAACAAGTGTCAAAACAAAACAGCAACAAACGTGTCTAGAGAATCACAAGATCATGAAAACAATGTAAAAAAAGCAACAAAATGAAAAAAACTGTAAAAAAAAGCAACAAAATGAAAACACACCCAACACAGGCTGGATAAAACAAAACTGAAATTTTTTTTTTTTATGTTTGAAAAATGTTTGTTTGTTTTTTTACGATGGTGTCTTCACGTTCCTATCAACACACATTTTTTTTTTTTGCTAAGTGTTTTACGCCACTCACAACTGCATTAGGTCTTATGAGCGCGCGGGACACATTAAACATTTTCAGTCTGTGGGAAATGTTGAATTTTGCCCGGGTTGCGGCCGAAGCCTACTCTTATCCATTTTAAACCACCAAGGGATCTTTAACGTAAGCAACACAATTTAGGTCAGATAGGTGGCAGGCTTCTGACCTTGCCTGTCATGTCAGGGCCAACCAGGGTTGAAAGGGCTACAAAGTGCCAGCAGAGAGACCAAGACGCTCAATCAACCTTTCTCCCCTCAGGAATTGAACTAAGGTCTCCTGCACGCAATAGCAGAGCACGTAACCACTACACCACGCCACAGACGCCGGTAAAAGTAAAACAAAGCTGAGAATCCATGCAAGTAAAACAAGTGAAAGTAAGAGTAGCCTTCACCTCATCCCACCCCATCATCATCATCATCATCGTCATTGCCTTTATCACCCTGCACCAGGGTTTAGGCCACGGACAAACACTTTCCGTCTTTCTCTACCCTGGGCCAGCCTCTTGATGTTATTCCATGTCGTCCCACTTTTCTGCATGCACATCAATTTCGGAGATTCTTCTCCAGGTTCCACGAAGTACCCCCCCCCCCCCTCCTAAATAGCCAACAACAACAATAAACAAAACAAATTTTTAAAAAAACTAGGAGCAGATCAGATGCAAGCTGAATGAATCAATCAATCAAAAGTATGGAAGATAATTTTCACAAAGTGGAAGAAAAATGTTTGTGGGATGACATCTTTGTCTGATCCGATTGTTTACACCCAACCCCACCTAGTCGTGTGACGTAAAGAGGATCGGTTCTCGTCTATATTGTCTGTGACTGATTATTCCTCGGTCAGCTCGAGAAAAGAACAGCAAAATAAACAGCAAAAGCTAGAGTGAGGCCATAAATGTCTCTTCTTTCTTTCTTTTTTTTGTTTTTTTGTTTTTTTGTTTGGGGCAGGTGTTTTTACACCCCTATAGACGACAATAGGTTTCCAAAGCATTAAAAGTTGGTCTTGACTAAAATACAAATAAAGCAACTGAACTGAATGAAAAGTAGCCATCCTTCTTCTGCAGAGCAAATTTTAAAATGCACCATTTTTGTATTCCCAACAAGAAAACAATCTAACTGATTGGATCACATTCATCATAAAATGAGGTATAAAGTTGTCCTAGGTACTGAAGGCAAAATACAACACCTCTCATTCACCAAATACCACAAGAGGAATTTTTTTTGTATAAACTTAATACCGGTTACTCTTTGATGACAAGACGACCGCAGGGTTGAATTAACATCTTATATCAAAAAACATTTGCATATTAAAGAGAAGCTAAGACCGTCTGACTGAATGATAGCCAAATGCAGTAAGAAAGTTTAGTTTTAGCAGAGGTTTTACGGCACTCGCAACTGCATAAGGTCATATTAGCGCCAAATGCATTAAGAAAGATGTGAACGAAAAATGTATTAAAACAATTGTGAATGAAAATGAATATAACATTCATGACTAAACAAAACTGACTTTGCCAAATATATTAATGTATTAAGACATAACCGACGGGATGACCATTAAAATATTTGTCGTGCACAACTCAATGACCTTATTAAAGAAATGCAAGGAAAGCATAAAGAAGGCATGACTGAACGACTGAAAAAAAAAAGACAGGATGAAGATAAGAAAATAAAGACAGGAAAGAAGGATCACCTACTCCCCCATTTTAATAGAATCTTTAAAATAGACACCCTCCCC